TTTGATCTGTCCCCCCGTGCCAAACTGGTGCCGTGGAAGTGCACGGAGACTGTTTTTTCTGCGAAACTGGCGCGAGTATCCCTCCCAAGATCCGCCATATCTTTCGAAAAAGTGTGGCTCGTAATTACATTCGCGTTGGCCCCCGATAAACTGCCACTGACAAGCACCTAGTAAGAAGTGGGTGCGCGCGAAAGCTGATATTGAGGTTACGGATGGGTATAGCACGTTGATCCTCAATCGATTGCATGATGCTGCGCATACCATAATCGATGAGTGGAGGTGGCACTCCTACCATATATGGTCGTAATTGCTTTCGATCGCCGGTGATAAATACCTAGCGAAGGCGAGGAAAGGCCCCACAAATTGCAAACATCCGCGCTTCCGGAACGACACTCACCTCATTCACAATAAGGCAGCTGGCGCTACTTTGAAGCCGCCGATGATGAGCCTGCAACAGAGCGAGCGTGCCTGCTACGATCTGATATTGGCGACTGCTCAACACCATCCGCAAAGCACGGCTATCATCAGCACCGAGACCTCGGTGTGGCAAACGACGGTCAAGATAGTGTTGGACAAACGACCGATCATCATGTTTCACACGGCCTTGATGCCGCAGACGACTAAGTGCCTCACTGAAGACGCGAGTGCTGCCAGATATTGGGTTCTGAATCAGCTGGTAAAGGATAGACCAGCTCTACTTCAAAAGAGATGAGGAAGCACAAAGCATTCTCAGGCAGGTCCGGGATACGTCTGAAAATGGCATTAACGGCATTGATTACAGCAACATTCGTTGAAACCGTAACTAATATCAGATCTGGAAACTCCAACTCTTTTAACAGTTGAAGCACATATTCGGCTATAACCCAGGTCTTACCTGTTCCGGCAGGAGCTTGCAGAAACAAAACTGGTGCACCATGCTGCAGATCCCTCAACACGTCCATCTGTTCTTCCGTGAGACGACCTACATTTTCCAGTAACGGCTAAACGGGGGTACAACAGATCCATCTCCAAGCATTGCCTTCACTATGGGGGTGAGCGGCTCCAGAAAACGGAAGGAAGCAGCTAAACAGCGGTCTTTAAACTGTCGCACTCGAAGCTCAT